ACACACCTGGATACACAGGTACACACAGATATACACACACCTGGATACACAAGAACACACAGATATACACACACCTGGATACACGGGTACAGTGTCACTACTTCTTCTCCTCCTTCTTCTTCTTCTTCTTCTTCTTCTTCTTCTTCTTCTTCTTCTTCTTCTTCTTCTTCTTCTTCTTCTCCTCCTCCTTCTCCTCCTCCTCCTCCTCCTCCTTCTACTTCTTCTCCTCCTCCTCCTCCTCCTTCTACTTCTTCTCCTCCTCCTCCTCCTTCTACTTCTTCTCCTCCTCCTCCTCCTCCTTCTACTTCTTCTCCTCCTCCTCCTCCTTCTACTTCTTCTTCTCCTCCTCCTCCTTCTTCTACTTCTTCTTCTCCTCCTCCTCCTTCTTCTCCTCCATCTCCACCTCCTTGTTCTCCTCCTTCTTCTACTTTTTCTTCTTCTTCTTCTTCTTCTTCTCCTCCATCTCCACCTCCTTCTTCTTCTCCTTCTCCTTCTCCTCCATCTCCACCTCCTTCTTCTTCTCCTTCTCCTTGTCCTTCTTTCTTCTTGGATATATTGTGAGCTGAGGAGCTGATTGGTCTGTCAGTCAGATCCATGAACACACACTGACAGTATCTACCTGTCTGTATCTCACCTGTCTGTCTGTAGGTCCCTGACTACTATGACATCATCAAGAAGCCGATCGCTCTCAGCACCATCAGAGAGAAAGTCAACAACTGTGAATATCAGACAGCAGGTGAGGACACGCACACACACACACACACACACACACACACACACACACACTTACGTCCAATCAAGATGTGATTAAGAAAAAAGTTGCTTCACACAGCTTCCTGTTTCAATAAAAACTGAAAATAGATTTTTATTTTCTGTCAAGGAAGAAATAATTAAGTCTCTCTGTGTCTCTCTTCCTGTCTCTCTCTCTGTGTCTCTTTGCAGCTGAGTTCATCGCTGACGTGGACCTGATGTTCTCCAACTGTCTTCAGTATAATCCTCGTCACACTAACGAGGCGAAGGCGGGACATCGCCTGCAGCAGTTCTTCCAATCAGAGCTCAGCAAGCTCGGTCTATCAGAGCGCAGCCCGGCCCCGCCCGCCAAACGCTCCCGACACTGAACCAAACGCACCCCTCTGACCTCAACGCCGTCCACTCTGCTGATTGGTCCAGGGACGAGGCATGTTCCCTCCCGATGCTCCTTCATGACCTTTGACCCCCGCCACCTGTCGGTCAGAACCAGCTGACAATCAAAATGTTTCATCAGCGACGTGACTGCAGAGTTCAAAGGTCATGAAGTCCAAAATTAAAACACCTTCTTAGACTCTGAGCTCACCTGGTCTGTCAGACCAAATAAAGTTACAGTCTGGAATCTGAGCTCACCTGAGATGGACCCTTATTTCCTCTCACCTGATGACATCATCACATGATCACATGACCTGGCGCTTCATCCTTTAAAAACCAAACCCTGTGTTAAAGTTTCACTGTGAGTTCATGAAACTGTAGAAAAGTTGTGGAGTGTGTTTCCTGCGACCTGCTGACGTTCAGGGCATTAACTTCCTGTTTGTGTTTGTGGACAGACGGACATGTAGCAGACATTCCTGTGGTGCTGTAGGACAGTAGAGACAGTAGAGACAGAGACAGTAGAGTCTACTCAGTTAGAAAAGTAAAAACCACTAAACAGAGTTCAGCTTTGCACTGACAATTTAAAAAAAAAACTCCCATCAGGCCGTTTGTTTTTCGCTCAGGGACAAAAAAAAATTGATTTGAATAAAAAGATATTTTCTAACAGTGCAGCTGGTTTTTACTGACACAGAGCATCACCATGGCAACACGGTTTCAGGCTAAATATCAAACCTAAAATTAAAATATGTGCACGTGATGCGTTCACCAAAACAAAATCATCTCCAGCTGTTAATGAGCCTTAAAGGGACGGTTCACAACCTCCTCTCGTCTGTCACTCATGTCTCAGGATGACCTTAGCTTAGCTTAGCTTAGCATTGAGACTGGAGCACAAGGTGTGAGACAATGTAGAAAGTAAAACATGTGGAACTGTCCCTTTAAAAGCCTGAGCCTGGGGCCTCTGTGGATTTGTAGTTTTTGTATTTTTGACTACTGTTTTCCCGCTTTAGGCTGTTTTTGTTTGACTCCTTCTTCTGTGGTGTTAGTGTGACTGCTGCAGCTCAGTCAGAGTGCGTGTGTGAGCGTGTGGTTGTATGGGTGTGTGCGTGTGTGTGTGCAGCTGTACACTACACTGGAGTCGCTGCATATTTATTTAGTTGTGCGTTTTCTTTATTTATGACTGATAGGCGCTTCCTGATGCTGTTTGTTGTTCTCATGTAAAAAATAAATGGACTTTTATAACCAGCTGCTGTCTGATGGTCTGCTTTGCACACACACATCATCATCATATAATAATACTACATTAATTTATAAAGCACATTTCATGGGGAGATGCAGCCCAGGGTTTAACAAAACAAGATCAGATCATTTAGTGATTGATCCTGCACTGTGGAGATACCTATGTATGTTACTTGTACTCTAAACTCAAGATACAGATTAATTCAGTTCAGCTTTCTTCATCAGACTTCCCTCACCTCTTCTGTCAGTGGTGTTAACTAAAAGGCTTTTGGCAGAGGAGCTGCGATGCTTTATCCACAATCCATGGAGTCACTTACCCAATGGATCCCGAGGTATGCCTTTTAATTTCTAATATCAGTCATAGCTATCCTATCAGGCTCACAGAAATCCTATTGGCTGTTGCCAAAAAATGTACTGCAGTGAGGTGGAAGTCAGATCTCCCAAAGGAGTAACACATGTTTTCTATAAATGATGACAACCTTTTATTAACTATATGGAGAATCTCCAATCACATATGATTGAAAGACTGTCTGCATGCTCTCTATGGTCACCACACTAGTGTTATAACAGACTGTGCAACTGTGGATGTATGTGACAAGTACATGTCAGACGGATGTTCTTGGATAAATATTGTTAAGGTTTAACAATGTTTTTAAATGATAGATAGTTTGTAATCATTGTATATTTGTTATGGGATGTAATGGTGAATCAGTTTTCAAAAAAATCATTAATCTTTTGTTTTCATTTATTTTTTAAAAAGTGATTCGGACACTGTCTCAGTTGCTAACAGTGTATTGTTAAAGTAGCACAGTGTGTTACTGACAATCTGGGACAACTGTACAAGTCATTCAAATGGAGTTGAGTTTTCTTTATATGTCTGTCATAAATTGTAAAACAAACAAACATAGCCAACCAAAATAAATAAATGGATAGATTAATAAATAAATAATAAAGTAAAATAAAAAACATACCCTACCAGAATAAACAAATAGATAAATAAAACAAGAAATAAAATAAAGTAGAATAAAAAAACCCACAGCCAGCCAAAATAAATAGATAAATGAATAAAATATAAATAAATAAATAATAAAGTAAAATAAAAAAACCCACAGCCAGCCAAAATAAATAAATAAATGAATAAAATATAAATAAATAAATAATAAAGTAAAATAAAAAAACCCCACAGCTAGCCAAAATAAATAAACAATAAAGTAAAATAAAAAACCATAGCTGGCCAAAATAAATAAATAGATAAATAAATAAATAAACAATAAAGCAAAATAAAAAAAACATAGCCAGCCAAAATAAATAAATGAATAAAAAATAAAGTAAAATAAAAAAAAACATAGCTGGCCCAAAACAAACAAACAAAAAATAAATAAATAAATAAATGGAAATCCCAAGAAGATGGTGGGTACACATTTGGACTGCTGGGACAGTATGCATTACTTGCAAAGCCAAATATGGAGGTGAAAATGATCCCAAGAAAACAGAGGACTGGACGTCCCCCTCAAAATTTAGAACATAATAAAAACACAAAGCGGAGGACTTTTATAAAAATTAAAGACATTTATATCATACACTGATGAACTGAAATATGTAAATATCTTATAATAAAATAACCCTTTAAAGGAGCCACTCTGCATTAAGAGTTGTTTATTTGGATATTTAGCTGATAATACTTATGTGCTTTTACTTAGATACCATTTTGAATTTAGGACTCTTACTTATAATGGAGTGTTTTTAGAACATGGTATTTCTACTTTTATTTAAGTCACCGAAAGGATCTCAGTAACTTTACTTCTTGCACTGCTGGTAGCAGTAACAGTAGTGGGTGTGATAGTTGTAGTAACAGTAGCAGTAGTGGTAGTAAATGTAGTAGTAGTACAGCAGGTACATATAAAGTGTATTTATTTCGCTGTGAGGAGCTGGCAGCGGATGTAAAGCGGTCTCTGTGCTGTGAGTGTCGCAGGTCTGATCCCTGTGTGGCCCCTCCTCTCTCCTTCTCCCCCTCCTCCCTCCCCCCTCCTCCTCCTCCTCCTCCTCCGGTCGGACGGCCACATTCCCCGCTACCTTTCACCCCGGAGAAACCCCGATCTGACGGCGAAGCAACGCGGACAAACCCCGGGACAACATGGTAAGGACCTTAAAAACACACTCCCCGCGGGTCTCGTGTGGTTTAGAGCCGCCCGTCGGTGTCCACTGCGGTTGCGGCAGGTCTCCGGTGGACCGTTATGCGGTTCCGCTGCTATAGCGTGATGTTAGCTAGCATGGCTGCCGCTCCCGTTAGTTAGCTGCTCTGCCCGCTATTCCGACGGTTATTCGGTCTTTACGTCACACAGAAACGTCTCTTAATAACGGGCTTTAATCTGGTGACGTTAACGGAGAGTTTTCTGGTTTTATTCGTGTAACGGTCAGTATTCCGGGCCGGGCCGGGCCGGGCCTGCCCCCAGGCCGTGTGGCCCGGGGCGGCCATCTTATTCCCGCTGTGGTCCCGCTGGGCTGACCGGCCCGCACCCAGCTGGTACAGACTCACCAACCCGGGCTGAACCGGACTGGCTGGACCCCACGAAGCAGACTAAACCGGTTCAGCTGAAGGACCGGGTTCAGGAAGCTGGGTTTAGTCCCGGTTAGTTAGCGCAGTCAGTTAGACAGACGGACACACAGCCAGCCAGCAATGACTCTGCAGTCTGTCTGTCTGTCTGTCTGAAGGCCTGCAGGCTGACCACCAGTTACACTGACTGACCAGTAACACTAACCAGTAGCAGCAGCTAACCAGTGTCAGTTACCAGTTCAACTAGCAGAGAACAACCAGTGTGTAGTTTAGTTACTGGAAACAGAGTTGATTCATGTTTATTATTAATAATTGATTAACATATTGAAACATGGCAGCCTTTATATTAACCAACATAATGTGTTATTATTTTCATTATTGATCAATTGGCTGGTTGATCAGTTTGATGTGTGAAAGTGGTGAAGATTATATTGAATTTATTATGAATTAAACCAGGAAGAGCTGCTCCTCATGAATCAATGATCTGATTAAATCCAAACCAATTTTCTGTGATAGATTAATCATTAAATTGATTTATAACATGTTTTCTGCAGCTCTGTAACAAGTCTTGAAATCTCTTATATTCAGTGTTATAAATCTCAGGCCTTAAAGTCAGTAAAGAGTTCAAATTTAAATTTGTGCGGTTTTAATTTCCACAAACATATTATGTAATTTCTGTCTTCAATTTATGTAATTATGTATTTATTATTATATTATATGTATTTATCTTATTTACTCATTTATTTTTAAATGAGTCAAACTTTTCTGAGTGAAAGTCCACATTTAAATCGTTAAACGTTCCTCTGAACATATTTTTACTCTCTACCTTCACTTACCTGTTGACAACATGAAGATAAACCAAACTCACTCTAATAAGCATGTTCATACAGACAACTTAAAAGCTCTGCTGCTCATGAACAAATACATTTACTACTTACCTTTAATTTCTCAGGTGATTCAACAAAATAAAGATTAATCTTAAATTTAGTTAAAGATTATTCTGAAACGTGTCTGAGACCTGCCTGTGATAGTTTCAGCTCTAATAATAAAATTTGTTTTATATGTTTAATAAAATCAGTGCCTTTTATAAGTTAATTATTTAATATGACAGTAAAGGAAATATTTTCACTGTTGGTTTAATTAAAAGTCACTTGAATGCATCACTTAATAAATTCTACTGTTTAATAGCCTAAAGGATCGATCAATAATGAAATCAGTGGGTATTGATTATTAAAGTGTTTCCTGTATGAGAGTACTCACTGAATCTCATAATGATTATTGATTGAAAGGTTGTTTCAATTATCAGATGAGTGTGACCTCATCAGTGATGTCACTCACAGAGGCTCCTTTCTGCTGATTGATTTAATTAGTAAGTTAATCAGTGGTTTAGTTTGTAAAACAGTGAAAAGCAGTAACAGTGAGCACATTAGTGGGTCAGTGGAGCTGTCAGCACCCTCTGCAGGACGCCTCTCCTTTGATATGTACTGATATTGATCAGCTGATTGATTCTATGAGTATAAAACAAAGATATAAGTACTTAAATGTAAAGACTTACATGATTATCTGACACTGATAACAATGATCAGAGTGGTGCAGACTGATCAGCTGATCAGATGTTATCATGAGTCAGCTGATCTAAAGCTGCAGCCTAAAGGGACATTCTGTAAAACTCACACATCACTGTGTCACATGTGTTTGTGAGGTCAAACACCTCAAAGTGAGTTTATGATCACTTCACTACGGCTGCTCCTGAATCAGACTAATGTCAGTCGGATCAGATTTGGCTGCTCAACATGAATATTTGAATATTTGTTTCTTTTTTCTCCGTAGAGTGTTTGAAGTCAGTTCAGCGGGACGTTTAGGGCTACAGTGACGTTCATGTGATAAAATAAACCAGCCAAATTAGCCCTATGAGGTAATTCAGGCTAACTAGGCTCACAACAGATTGTATTTTTTTGCTGACACTAGATAAACAAAACCCAGAGACTGTATCGTATTAAGTTGCTGTGAGCTGCAGATTTACTGCGTCCAAGCAGAAAGCAGATATTATGTTTTCTCAAAGCCTGACTGGCCAAAGCCCTCAGACTCACCCTGGGTCTGGGTCAGCAGCTGCCTAAACCAGAGAGCAGCCTGAAAGCAAGGAGTGCTCACTCTGTAGCTAAATCTGGAGACTAGAACGTCCCCCGAGATCCACTGCACACTGACTGACCACAAACAGCCCCACAGTTTACACCGATTTTTATTCCAGCACTGGAAATGTATCTGCAACAGTGAAATCTATTGAAAAGTCATTTGATTTAAAGCTGGCATAGAAATACTAAATATATTTAAAAGTACCAAAAGTAAAAGTACTCATTATGCAGCATAATATATGATATTACTGATGCATTCATGTGTTCATCACTTAAATATTGCAGCATTTTAATGACTTAATATACCGCTGGGTAGTTTTATTCACAATAATACATCATTATAAATTATTAATTATATTTTTTATGAATAACCTGAATCTTTAAAGTAACTAAAGTACTCAAGTAAAGTACAAGTACTTTGAATAAGCACCTAAGTACTGTAGTAAACGTACTTCGTAGGTTTCTGATGTCTCATTTGAACCAATCCCATGTGTCGTCCGCAGGCGTCAGGTGTGACAGTGAACGATGAGGTCATCAGAGTGTTCAACGACATGAAGGTGAGGAAGAGTTCGACCCAGGACGAGGTGAAGAAGAGGAAGAAGGCGGTGCTGTTCTGTCTGAGCGACGACAGAAGCAAGATCATCGTCGAGGAGGGGAAGCAGATCCTGGTGGGCGACATCGGCGAGACAGTTGACGACCCCTACGCCTGCTTTGTGAAGCTCCTCCCCCTCAACGACTGCAGATACGGGCTGTATGACGCCACCTACGAGACCAAGGAGTCCAAGAAGGAGGACCTGGTCTTCATCTTCTGGTACAGCATGCCACATCCTCTGCGTTTAACCTCTGTTCACTAATCGAATCAAATCAAATTTATTACATTTACAAACCAAGCAGAGAATATTAAGATCTGAAAATAAGATATAAAAGGTAAAACAAAAACTTAAAGGACAATCAAAGGCTCTAGAAAACACATGGGTCTTCAGCTTAGATTTTAACGTGTCTACAGAGGGGGAGCACTTAATTGAAAAAGGAAAACTGATTCAAAGCTCTGGGGCAGCCACTGCGAAAGCATGATGGCCCTTCCCCCTTAGTCTCGATCGCAGGACTCCCAGGAGCAACTGATCTGAGAGATCTTGGGTTGGAAAGGGGGCAGACGAGCTCAGAGATGTCAGAATCAGAAATTAGAAATACTTCATTGAAATGAAATGAAACGTGCATCAGAATAAAAATAAAATGTGCATTATGCTACTGTGTCTAACGCTAGTATTTGAGATATGAAAACTAAAATATTAAAATAAAATATATATCGTCACTGTGCTGAGACTTAAGTGTGAAAATGTAACTACAATACACTCTTACACATATACATAAGTTGAATAAAACAACAATAGAATCAGAGTAACATAAGAAATATGAACAGTTGTGTTCATTGTATGTTGAATTAATATATACATTCAAGAGGTGGGAGATATTGTACTTGGGTACCAAGCTATGTAAGGCTTCATTGATCTGGATCAATATTTGAAGTTAACCCTCTCACCCAGTGGTGGAATTTCAGGAATTTCACTTATGCTGCTGTTGTATATAAGCTAGCTGATGACTCTGTCAATATAAGAGTTGAGAAATTGCACACTGATATATTTTGGTTTCATATTTAACAGTGAAACTGCTGATTATCTGATGTGTATAGACTAATACCCGCATCACGCCCATTGTCAGACTTCATACATGTTATTCCTATGATCTGACACAGTCCAAAAATATTAGCAAACATGAACAACTCCCTCCCAATACTACAATAGAATAAAGCCCATATGGGTATTAAAAACAAAATCAGGCTCCCATTCATCTTCTGTGGAGCAGCTCCAGACTTTATACCCTATGACATCACAAGTTTGAGACTTCCATGTCTGGTTTCTGGCTTCAAGAGGGAGTAGCTCATGTTCGCAAATATTGATACATCTTTCCAAGGCCATGGAAATACCATAGTTGAATTCTTAATTTAGGTTGTTATCCCCTTTAAGTAACAGTAGTGTTACAACAAAGTAAAAACACTCCCTTACAAATAAAAGTCCTGCATTCACAATCTTACCAAAGTAAAAGTGCTCAAATTGGCAGTAAATCTATTTGTCCCCATTTATTTATTTTTTTTTGGAACATTGATACTAATTTATTGAAAGTATACATGTGTACGTGTAAGCAGCACTTTGAAGGTGTCAGTGTGAAGCTCTACTCTGGGTAGTCTCAACTATTACAATACTACTGTATGTAAATATTATCAGATGTTTTCAGTACAAAATACTGATCTAAAGCAACTAAATATAGCTGTGAAGTTAATGTAATCAGGGTTTTCCCTGCCTATCTAAGACAAAAGCGGGCCGCCTGGATGATTTTGGCCGCCGCCTTGGTTAAAGCGAGTGTGTGTGTGTGTGTGTGTGTGTGCATGGGGGGTGTTCAGATGTAGCGTCTTTTGCGCGCATAAACCCATTACTTTCAATGTAGACGCGTGTCATGCGCGCTCACAACCCAAAGCAACACTGTAGCAGCGCGCATTCGGTGCAGCGCGCTTGTTTTTTCATCCAGCTCCACGGACCTGCTTCTCCCTCCAGTATTGTGTCAGATCCCGGTTCCCCCTCGGGCTTTGTCTCTCCTACTGTTTCCCACAGAGCTCTGCCCTGTTTGAAAGGCGAAGGAAGCCCGTATGTGGAAAGACGTCGCCTCCGAGATGTAGAATGTGTATTATAGAGGAGAAACACACATTTCAGGACAGACGTCCTGTGATTTTCAGCAGCCTCCTTTCATATTTAATAGAGGGGGGACATTACCTGACAGTAATATTCTCAGCTGTCAGGATGTGCCTGCTGTAAAGGGTAAATATAATCATAGAAGGCTGAAAATCACAGGACATGTCTGTTCTGATTATACAAGCCAGCAGTGTAAAGCTCAAGCGTGTGGGGGCCTCCTTTCATATTTAATAGAGGGGGGACCGTATCTAAAAGTACAGCTGTCAAGATGCCCCCCGCCACAGGCCTTTGCCTCCTTGGTCTTGAAAAAACTCAGGGAAAATGTAAAGCAGAGGAAACATGGCGTGCAGTCTGTAAGGAGAGCTGTGTCTGCTACTACTGTCTGAATAGCCATGCTCATATCCAGCCTGTTGTGTTATTAGGTCATGCAGTAATAGCCCACCTGTAATGACAACAGTTGTATTAAATATGAATTTCACCAAAGCCACAGACAGTGGCACAGTTTAGGCTCTTACACTATCATCATCTTAAAGGTCCAGTGTGTAAGATTCAGGGGGATATATTGGCAGAAATGGAATATGACATAATAAGCATGTTTTCGCTGGTGTATAATCACCTGAAAATAAGAATCTTTGGTTTATTCATTACCGTAGAATGAGCATTTTATATCTACGTAGGGAGCAGGTCCTTTTCGATTGAGAATGCCATGTTGCACCACAATGTTTCTGCAGTAGCCCAGACGAGACAAAACCCTGGCTCTAGATATGCACAGTAGTTAGCAGCCTCTCTGTGACAAGAGCAGACTTTGTAGAGGGTCACGTTCCCACCCATACACCCATTTGACTGATCACAAGCAGCACCACTGACCATGAGCACAATGACAGGCACACACAGCTGTCAATCATGACATCACACCTTGGACTTGCACTTGTATTGCACATGTCTAGTCTTCTGACCATTCAGAATGCTTTAACAGTATTTTTCACAGTCACCCATCAACACACACATTCCCACAGTGTTGGCCGAGGCTGCTGCACAAAGTGCCACACACACTTGTGGTTCAGAACGCGTCAACATGTAGACCTGAGTCGCTGGGGATCAAACTGCTGACGACCTGCTCAACCTCCTGAACCACCTAACTAACCTGTCTCACCACAGTCTCAGCCCAGCTGTCGTTCCCTGTTATTGGATGAATAATCCAACACTGTGAATTCTGCTTCACAGTGATCCATCAATTAACTAACTAAAACCAAACGTATCACAATAAACACCTGAACAAACATCAGTGGTAAGAACTACTTGAAATGACAGAAACCATCTTTGGGAAAAGATTTTTGGGTTTATGACTACTGGGGGAGATGGAAGTGTTTTGACTACACTCTGAGGGATCTGTCATGTCGTCCATCTTTACATAAAGTCTATGATGCAGACACATGTGAAGCAGTCACTTCCTGTTGTATGTTTCAGGGCTCCAGAGGGCGCTTCGCTGAAGAGTAAGATGATTTACGCCAGCTCTAAAGATGCCATCAAAAAGAAGTTTACAGGTGAGTCATCATGTGACCTGCTGGGGTCAGAGGTCATCATGCCACTAATGATTTTAGATTACAGATCATTCAATATCGGGGCTGTAAGGGTTCATGTATGCATACTAAACCGTCACGGTGGAGCGTGAAGATGTGCCTGCAGTTTTTTGCTCCACTACGACAGCAACAGAAAGGGTTGTGTCGATGACGAGGACCATCTCTGTCCGTCTCTGTCCAGGCATCGTTCGAACATCTATCAAAATTCAGTTGGCATTGATTTTGAGAGAGAGGCTGAATAAGTAACAGATCAGTGCCTCCAGGATTTTCTGTTTTTTTATTGTTGCAGCCTGCGGTGCAAGTGCCGATGTTTTAGGCAGTTTTTTGCGATGACATTTCAGGGGAAAGTGAAGAGTGCAAAAATAGTTGTGATTCAGTCTCGTGTTTGAAGACTAATATTATGAGATCAGGTGTTTCCCACAGAATGAGATGTGATTGAAGCGGAGGGTGCAACAACTGATCAGCTGTTGCTGCCATTAGATGCAGCGCTGAAGGACTGTCTTTGTGTGCCACCCTCCTCCTGCTCTCTCTGCCCGAATACCTGTGCGTCAATTTGTGTCATTCTGTGTCCTATTTCTAAACGCGGAAAGCTTTGTGGATCCGTAAACGCAGCGCAGGCTGAGCTGTCCATGACTTCTTAATCCTCAGCAGCAGTTTTGTGACTGGCGGGGTGTACAACTGATCTATTGATCAGTAGATCAGATCGATGGATGAGAGGAGCAGCTGCTGCGAGTCAATGCAAACTTTTAGACCAGCAGAATCAACTGTTCAGTGTAACTTTCAATGCACCTCATGTTCTGCTGCTCTGTCTCTGCCCTGAGTGCACTCTGCACTTTGACAGTGTGGTGCTATAAATAACAGTTTATATATTCCAGCAGTGCACCCAATGAACCGTCCAGCTCTATAAATAGAAAATCTATTCATGGCGGCAGATGTCTGACACACCTGGAACATCTGTCAGGTTCTGTGTCCAGCTCATTCTGTGTGTGTGTGTGTGTCTGGCCTCATCAACCCCTCATTGACCTCAGGTTTCTTCTCCTCAGGTATCAAACACGAGTGGCAGGTGAACGGGCTGGACGACATCGAGGACCGCACCACGCTGGCCGAGAAGCTGGGCGGGAACGTGGTGGTGTCTCTGGAGGGCAAGCCGCTGTGATGTAACGGCAGCGAGCCGAGCGGAGCCAAGCCAACCGCCGTGCCATCCGGACCGAAGCACCTGACCCCACCTGAACACCGCCGCTTCACTCAGCAGCTTGCTCTGTCTGTCTCATGTCCTGAAGGAGTTAGCGTCTTTAGGCCTCTTTGTTTTCTTTTTGTTCTTTTTGCTTTTTTCCAACATGAAGGAGATCTCATTAACATAATGATATGCAAACCCCTCCCAGTTTGTTGCCACATGACTTCTGTTCACCTGGCAGAAAAAAAAAAACGGAAATGACACACTACCAAACCCCAGGATGGTTGTCTCTCGCTCACAGCCAGAGTTTTGCCAAAAAGTCGATGTGAAGGAAGCAGCCACACGTGTCAGAGGCGAGCTGCGCGCCGCGAAGCTCCGCCTCCTGCAGCACACGGGTCATGATGCTTTTTACATATGACTTTATTTATTATTGTAAAGTGTTGTTTCTTCTCCAGTATGTTCCCACCAGGCACACTCATGGTTAGACTATGCATTCAGAAGAGAAGAAGAAGAAGAAGGTTATGACGCAGCACTTTGTGTTGACACACTACAGCTTCATTTGTTTACCTCAGTCTCATTCTAGCTGTTTGGTCGTCGCCTTACTTTCAGTTTGAATGTAACCGTCACACCACTTAGTTAGAGTACACTTTTATTTTGTAAAGAAACACTACAGGAAGCAGATTTGACCCCAGCAGTGAGAGACGACCCCACAACAACAACTACAAGAACACGACGACATCTGGAGCCTTAAAGTGGAACGTTGTTTCTGAGATCACAGGAAGCCACTTTGCAATAAAAGCCTGTGGCAGTTCTGACGCCTCCCGCCTCCTCTCTGCTTCCACCAATCACAGAACGTTTCCACCCGCAGGTCCTTCCTCGGGAACAGGTGTCAGTCAGGTTCTATGTTCTGTCTGCATTGATGAGTCAGGTTCAGATGACCAGCGAGTGAAAATGCTCACTAGAACACAACAATTATCTGATGTAACTAGAACAGGTGAAAACCTTCAGCAGAACCTTGATAGGTCTACTGTGGCTTAGTGGAACAATAATACCGGTATGAACCAAAGTAATCACAATAGAACTGTATTAGAACCAATAAAAACCCAGTAGAACCTAATTAGAACCAGTGAATCCATTAGAGTTGGTACAGGCTCCAGTAGAACCCATTATACCCAGTATGACTTCACCTGAAATCCATTAGAACCATTACAAACAGCATCCCTTTAAAACCTGAATGAACCCTCTAGTACCAGTATGAACTCAGTAGAAGCCTATAAGAACCAGCACAACTCCTGTAGAACCCAGTTAGATCCATTTTGATTTGGTAGATCAAGTATTTTTGTGGAACCAAATTTGAACCTGTATATCTTCAGTGTATTTATTAGAACCAACACAACTCCAGTGGATAGGCAGTAGAACCATTTCAACACAAGTAGAACTTGGGTAGAACTAGTATTTTTATGAAACTCACATAACATGAGTAGAAACCATTAAAACCAGTGGAATAGCATTAGAACCATTTTGTCATGAGTAGAACTCAGTTAAAACAAGTATTTTTGTGGAACCCCATCAGTACTCACGTAACATGGGTAGAACTCAGAACCAGCAAGACTCAAGTGTAATGGAATTAGAACCATTTTGACATCAGTAGAACTTTGTCAGAACTAATATTTTTGTGGAACTCCATTAGAACCCACATAAATTTAATGTACTCATTAGAGCCAGCAGGATTCAGTGGAATGGCATTAGAACCATTTCACATCAGGCGACCTTTGTCAACAAAAATAATATTTATGAAACCCCATTAAAGTCCACATAACTCCTGTAGAACTCATTAGACTCAGAGTTGAGTGGAATGGAATTAGAACGACTCTGACATCCGTAGAACTTAGTCAAAATGCAGTGGGATGGCATTTGAACCATTTTGACATCAGTAGAACTTTGTCAAAATATGTTGTAATTTTGTGGAACCCCATTAGAACCCACATAAATTGGGTAGAGCCCATTAGAACCAGCAAGACTCCCATGGAATGGTGTTCGCATCACTTTAACATCTGTAGAACTTTGTTAGAACTAGTAATTTTGTGGAACCCCATTAGAACCCATGTAACTAGTGTACACATTAGAACTAGCAAGACTCCAGTGAAGTGGCATTAGAACCATTTAGAGATCAGTAGACCTTAATGAACAAAATTTGTGGAACCCCATTGGAACCCACATAACAAGTAGAACTCATTAGACCTAGGAAGACTAGTGGAATGGCATTAGCAATCATTTTAACATTAACATTAGTAGAACTAGCATTTTTGTGGAACCCCATTAGAACCCTTGTAACATGAGTAGAACCAGCAGGACTTAAGTGGAATGGCATTAGAACCATTTTGACTTCAGTAGAGCTTTGTCAACAAATACTATATTTGTGGAACCCCATCAGAACCCACGTACCTTGAACAGAACACATTAAAATCAGTAAAACTGCAGTGGAATGGCATTAGAACCATTTGACATCAGAAGAACTTTGTTAGAACTAGCATTTTTGTGAAACCCCATTAGAACCCATGTGACCTTAGTGTACTATTAGTACCGGCAAGACTCCCATGGAATGGCAGTAGAACCATTCTGACATTAGTAGAACTTTGTCAACAAATACTGCATTTGTGAAACCCCATTATAACCAGTATGGCCTTATTAGAATGTATATAACCTGAGTAGAACCCATTAAAGATTAACCCATCAGTATGAATTGTTACAGAGTATCTTTACTCACACCTCTGACAGCAGCTGAGGCTCATGGGTATTGTTGTATTTAAAGTCAGAAACAAAGCGTACAATCACATCATCCAGGTGAGGTTCTGTGTGCTGTCACACACAGGAGAATGTTTAAAGCAACAAAATGTGGACAGAGGTCTGTTTGTCAGAACATTGTGATGTTAATCCATCAGCTGATGTTCTGTCTATAAATACATCAGAACAAATCAAACTGTTCTTTGTATAAACAGAACTGAGCTTTAAACTCTGAACAGAAGACATGAAGTCTCCAAACATCCTGAACGAGACTTTGAGGTAACTGTGTGTAAAATGAAGCAACAGACGTGAATGTTTGAAACATCAGGAAGCTTCATTGAGCACAACATGAAACATGGTACACTGTATATCATGTTTATATGAGCATGATATGTAATGAAGGGGATACAATAGTTAAAGGTTTAATCTTACAAGTGAACAAAAGACTGTCAGCAGCATTGGTGGTTTCCATGGAAACAGGTTTTAAGCTCTCAGGTGGGTCAGGTTCAGGTTATTCACCTTCAGACCCAACATGAGCTCAGGTTTGTTCAGCAGTCTTTCTACACAGATGACTAAACCAGGAGTTTGAATCCTGACTTCCTGTCAGAGTCCTGACTTCCTGTCTGAGTCCTGACTTCCTGTCTGATTCCTGCCTGGTGTAAATTCCTGACCTTAAAAGGTCCTGGAGTGTGCGGCGTCCTCAGTGAGTCTCAGAGTGATGCAGCAGGGAGCAGCAGCAGCTTTGTGAAGTTCAGACCTGCAGCAGAATAAAGAGAAACAGACTCAGTGCCTGAGATCAGCTGCAGAATCTGATCCTGCTGCTGCTGCTATTAATGGACCCACATGTTTGTGAGTCCACGTCACCACGTCCACACAAGGACACACTGACAGACACTGATAGACACTACACACCAGCTGCACAGATACTACACAACAATTGCTACACTGATACTACACAACAATTACTACACAACCATTGCACAACAATAACTACACAACCACTGCACAACAATAACTACACGACTACTACACAAATACTGCACAACTACCATTACACAATTATTACAGACCAGCTGCACAACTATTACACAAGAATAACTACACACCTACCACACAACAATAACTACGCAACTGCTACACAACAATTACTACAAAACCACTACACAACAATAACTACACAACCACTGCACAACTACCACACAACAATAACTACACAACTGCTACACCACAATAACAACACAACCGCTACACATAAATTACTACACAACCCCCGCACAACTGCTACACAACAATAACTACAAAACCACTACACAACAATAACAACACAACCACCACACAACTGCTACACAACAATTACTACACAACCACCGCACAACTACTACACAACAATAACTACACAACTGCTACACAACAATTACTACACTACCACTGTACAATTACTACACAACAATAACTACACAACAATTACTACACAACCACTGCACAGCCACTACACAGTTACTACACAACAATAACTACACAAATACTACACAACAATTTCTACACAACCACTGCACAACAATTACACTCCTACTACACAACAATTACTACATAACTACTACACAACAATTACCACACAGCTACTACACAGCTACTACACAACAATAACTACACAAATATGACACAACAATTTCAACACAACCACTGCACAACAACTACATGCAACAATTACTATACACCTACTATTACTATACACCTACTACACACCTACACCTACTACACAACAATTACTACACAACTACTACACAACAATTACCACACAGCTACTACACAACAATTACTACACAGCTTCTACACAACAATTACCACACAGCTAGTACACAACAATTACTACACAGCTACTACACAACAATAACTACACAAATATGACACAACAATTTTAACACAACCACTGCACAACAACTACACACCTACTACACAACAATTACTACACTACTACTACAACAACATAATAATTACTACACAACCACTACACAACAATAAGTACCCAACTACTACAGACCAGCTGCACAACTACAGAGTTACACATCAGCAACACAGTCTTTGATAAAATATCATTTTGTGATCTTTCATAACAAAACGTCGTCATTATGTTTCATCATGTTTCATTATGTTTCATTATGTTTCATCATGTTTTATTATGTTTCATTGTGTTTCATTATGTTTCATCATGTTTCATCATGTTTCATTATGTTTCATTATGTTTCATCATGTTTCATTATGTTTCATTGTGTTTCATTATGTTTCATTATGTTTCATTGTGTTTCAGTATGTTTCATTGTGTTTCATTGTGTTTCATTATGTTTCATTGTGTTTCATTATGTTTCATTGCGTTTCACTATGTTTCATTGTTTCATTGTGTTTCAGTATGTTTCACTGTGTTTCATTATGTTTCATTGTGTTTCATTATGTTTCATTGTGTTTCATTATGTTTCCTTGTGTTTCAGTATGTTTCATTGTGTTTCATTATGTTTCATTATGTTTCATTGTGTTTCATTATGTTTCATATACTTTTTTATTAACTTTTCCTTTTTCAATCGAAGTGAACAAAACAGAACATATCTCAGCATATTTAATGAGTCATGAGGAGACAAAGAGAGAAACATCGGATGCTTCATGAGACTGCAGAGACTCAGAGTCCCTGAGGTGAGTCAGCTGATCACAGAGTTATGTCTCCTCCTGTTGGTCACTGATAGAACTACATGTGGGTTGGATTTTGGCTGCTATGAATCTTGACCTTTTTTAATAACCAGTCAGACCCTTGAGGCACCTCACAGCTAAGCAGCACTGCAGCTGAGCATTGATCTTGGTAAACCAAGGAGCTCCGATCTGTGTGGTATGACTGGATCATTTTAGGGAATAACCTTTTAACACCCACACAGTGTTTAAGTCATGAAACAGGATTGTGTGATCCACAGTGTCAAAGGCAGCTGTCAGGTCTAAAAGCATGGGAACAGCAGGAGATCATTAAAAACTCTTCAAAGAGCTATTTCAGTGTCATGGTGTGGTTTAAAACTACACTGACACGTTTCATAAAAACCATGGTGCCATCTCAAAATGTTTTAACTGAATAAAGACTCACTTCAGACAGAAAAGGTGGATGAGACACAGGCCTGAGGGTGGAGAAACTGTAGGGTATATTTTTCTTTTTTATAAGAGGCTGCATTACAGCATGTTTAAATGCAACAATTTTGTTTTTGCTCCCATTTTTTCACAGGTTTAAGTTAAAGATCTGACACTTTTATGCACTCAATGAATATATTTCTCTCAAATTTAACACACAAATGTAACATCTGTCTTTGAGGGTGGAGCAGTGGAGGAAAACATCCTTCTTTACTGGGGGACAACTCATCCACTGAGCTGGACTCTGCAACATCTCAGACTGGAGAAATGGAAATTCAGATTCACCATACAAAGCTCCTCTGATAAATCTGATAAAGAATTTGGTAACCATTTATAGATTAAATTACAGCGACGCTTTATCCCACCACCTTCCTGAGTGCAACTCACATTTATTCATTATAGTGTATCTTTTTCTGTCTTTATAGCTTGTCTTTACTTTGTGCAATTGTCTGTATGTTGATATGTCTGCATATGTTTTCATTTTTCTGCATTGTTTCATTTTTATGTACTCGTGCAGCTGTTTTATATGTTCCAAAAAAAGTAAATGAAAATATATTAAAAAAATAAATAAATCTAAAAATAGAGTGAAATAAATTGAAATAAAATAAAGTACATAAAAACAAAGTAAAATAAAAAAGAATACAATAAAAACAAAGTAAAGTAAAATAAAATAGAATAAAGTAAAACAAAGTCAAATAATATAGAATAAAGTAAAGCAAAATAAAATAAAACAGAATAAAGTAAAATACAATAAAATAAAATAAAGCAAATAAAGTAAAATAATATAGAATCAAGTAAAGCAAAATAAAATAAAGCAAATGAAGTAAAATAAAAGAATAAAGAAACATTAAAATAAAATAAATCAATATCCAGTCCTCCTTCATGTTGTGATTTTGATTCATGACATCAGCCTGGCCGTCGTGACGTCACGCCACTTCCTGTCTCCACCCGTTTGCAGCCATGATGGTGGGTTTATCTCTCTTCTCTCCTCTCCCTCCTCATTCTCTCATTTATCAGCCCGTTAACGAGTCCCGGTGAGCCACCGGTGCTCCGGTGAGCTGCCGGTGCTCCGGTGGTTGTGTCGGTGTTGTTGTTGTTGTGTCACGGTCGGTGTAAACTAACGGCTGTGTGCTCTGTGTCTCTGCAGCAGGAAGGGCTGGACGACGGACCCGACTTCCTCTCCGAGGAGGACCGGGGAGTGAGTACCTGTCTGTATACCTGTCTGTCCGTCTGTCTGTCTGTTTATGTCCCTGTCCACCTGTCTGTGTGTCCTGGCTCAGCTCTGTGTTCAGCTAAAGTAGCTACTTAGCCTTAGCTCCGGTGTACTAGCCAGGTTAGCGTAGGTTAGCCGTGGTGGCTAACGTTAGCTCGATGCTAACGGGCTCCGGGCTGTGTTGTCAGTTGTAGTTAAGCTGGATGCTAATGGACTCGGGGCTGTGTGTCAGCTGGAGTCAAACTGGTTCAACCAGCTGAGAGTCCAAACAGCTGTAGGCCCTTAGCTTCAGCAGCTAATGAGCTAACAGGTGTAGCACAGGCTAACAGATAACAGGCGGTTTCAGACCATTAACGTAATGTACATGTTGTTAATGATCTGTTCTGCTGCTGCTGTGCTGGTTAACCATCAGACTGTCACATGACACACACACACACACACACACACACACACACACACACACACGCTAATTGGATAATCCGCTCCAGATCAGTTAAAGTCAGATGTGTTGAGTTCAGAGGGAAACAGAACAGAGTGAGGCATCTCTTCTGTGTGAAACCCGTCTGTCACTGGTTTGACTGGTCAGCTGTGTCCCAGTTTGATGTGTGGAGTCTGCTCTGTGGACAGATTAGTGTCATTATTGATCATGTGAGGACAGTTTGGTCAGAATGCAGTGAGAATGTCCTTCAGTTTAGAACACTGAAATATGAAGTTTTCTATCACATGAAGAAGAAAATGAATGACAGCTGTTCATCAACCTGATCTACTTTTGTGATTAGAGCAGTGTAACACTATAAACCTTCTACTAACTACTAACCTTCTGCTGAAATGTCCCCATTGAATCATGTCACCAAATATTCAGTCATTACACATTAAACACTATCTGTCTATCTATCTATCTAACTATCTATCTATCTATCTATCTATCAACAGACAGCAGTAGTTAGCAGGGAGGAAAATCATAATCAGCTTTATTTAAAGGTCACGTGTGTTAGATGAAGGGGGATTTAGTGGCATCTAGCAGTGATGATTCTAGATTTTAACCAGCTGAAACTTCTCCTGGTTAGAATTCCTTCAGTATTCATTGTTCAGTGGGTTTTTACCAGGAGTCAAATTATCCACAGAGGTCTCCACATCTCCAAAACAAACAGGTTATTAAAACACTGAATAAAGCAGTTTCATGCTAAATAAAATCAGTGTTTTTTTCGATGCTGCTTGTCGCATAGGGGCTTCTAACTGTGGAGGCTGATGCAAAAACGTGAATGTCCCTTTCTAGAGCCAGTATTTGATTTGTCTTTTCTGAGCTTCTGTAAAATCATGAAAGTCCAACATGGCGATTTCCGTAGACAAGGACCCGCTCCCTATGTAGATAACAGCTCATTCTGAGGTAACGAAAACACAATGATTCTCTTGTTCAGGTAATAAAACACTAAAGGAAACATACTTATTATATTCCATTTCTGCCGGAATATCCTCCTAAATCCTACACACTGGAGCTTTAGATATGTGAACGCAGACAAGCAAACGCCTCAATGTACTCTTAAAGTAACACATAAAGCTAAAACCAAGGTCAAAGAGCCAGTGCTGTCATGACAATAGAATTTCTAGCTTTGATACAAGACCTTGGAAAATATAAATAGAGAATAATTGACATTGAGGGCGTAGAATTGAAAATGCTTATGTTAAAATAGATATAACAAGGCTATAACATGGTGACTTTACTTGGTTAGTAGCAGAGAACAGCTGAATGACTCCAAGAAACAATAAGGAAGAGCGAGGACAGTAGCTGGTACTGGTGTATCGATACGGTGGAAAATGACAATTGAAACGGTTTCAAATCTGTATTTTTGACAACAGCACAACAAGCTGAGAAAGGGAAACAAACACTTATCTACTATGTACAGAAATAAATATGTGTAAAACGTGTCTATGTATGTATAACACTACAAAATGAGATTAGAAAACAGTGAGACAGTATAGTAGAAAGGGTGCTGGAATAAATATGGATTGATGAGACCAGAACAAGTTGTGATACGTTCCTCTTTGGTGTGTTTAAAATGTAGTTTTATGTGTTAACTTTAACTGTTTATTAAAACATTTAAATGATCAATTCACCCACAAAAAGCATCTATTTATTATTAATGTATGGATTATGATGAAGTTCAGGACAGAAACATTTATAATGACTGTGTTAGACAAAGGTGCTGTGTCTGCTGATCAGTGGATGTGGTGCATTATGGGATATGTGGTCTCTGTCTTGCAGCCGCGGGCAGTGAACGTGGATCTGCAGACGGACGCCACGCTGCAGGTCGACATCTCTGACGCTCTGAGTGAGAGAGACAAGGTCAAGTTCACCGTCCACACCAAGGTGAGACAGCGTGTGTGTTCCTGTCTTTGCGAGGACATTTCTGCACCATGAGGACTGTGATGTGTTTAACTTCTCATAAAAGCTTCATTTGAACTTTAGAATATATTTTTGCACTTTCAGTGTTCATGAAAGTCATTGTTGTTTCAACACATGAAAAACGGTGAACTCGTCCTTTAAGGTTCAGCTCAGGTAATGCTTTAAGTCAGTGAGGGTCCTCACAAGTGTAGAAGGACAAACAATAAATTTCTTCTTTAGTTCTTTCTTCTTTAGCTCGACGGTCATGACGTAATGATTGAGACAGCAGATCGATACTCATATTGGTTTTTGAATGTTTGATGATGGACTTCCTGTTTCCACAGAGCACGCTCCCTAACTTTAAGCAGAATGAGTTCTCAGTGGTACGACAGCACGAAGAGTTCATCTGGCTGCACGACTCGTTTGTCGAGAATGAAGAGTATGCAGGATACATCGTAAGAGCCACACACACACACACACTCATGCAACAATTATGTAACCATCTGATTGTTGTTTATTGTTGATCTTGTTTTTGTTGTTGTTTAGATCCCCCCAGCCCCTCCCAGACCAGACTTTGATGCGTCCAGAGAGAAGCTGCAGAAGCTGGGGGAGGGAGAAGGATCCATGACCAAGGAGGAGTTCACTAAGATGAAGCAGGAGCTGGAAGCGTGAGTCACTAACCAACTCACTAATTAACTCACTCACTCACTAACACTGACTGTTCACCACACTGACCGCTGTGTGTTTTCAGAGAGTACCTGGCCATCTTTAAGAAGACCGTCGCCATGCATGAGGTCTTCCTGTGTCGTGTGGCGGCTCATCCGGTCCTCAGGAAAGACCTCAACTTCCATGTCTTCCTGGAATACAACCAGGACGTGAGTCACTGCTGACACTTCACACACCTTCAGGCCACATCCACACTTGATCTCCTTCATGTTGCCGCACTCAGCTCACAGCCTGTAATATTATATTCAAACTAAAACAAGGTCAGCAGGTCCCCAGGGCTGCCCCCAGCTAAGAATTTTCCTAGTCGACTAGTAGTCATCATTTAGTTCCATTAGTGGACTAGTCTCCTGCATGTTTCTGATATGAATGTAATGATTAAATGATATATTTTGGTGGTTTGAGTTGAAGGTGTGAGAAAGAATAGTATCAGTAACATTGTTAACACTGTGCTACATTACAGAGAAATACAAAACCGTACTAATGAACCTTCATTAATATAGGCCTATATTTTATCTACAAGTGCACGTCACACACTGAGCGAGCCGCCTGTTAATGACGCTGTGGGCTAATGGGCATGTAGCTACTTCCATGTTTCAGATGATACGTCATGTTTGTAGTCGACCAATGAAGATGAGTTTACATATCACCTTGGGTTCGTCCTTCACCTTCTCAAAATGATCCCACACTTTGGATTTTCTGCCCGACATGTTATTAACTAGCCTGTGGAATAACCGCAGGTACCAGCCCTGGAGATTAACCTGACTCCTGTCTGACTGCTTTCAAATTAAATTCCCACATGGTACAGTCATATAGGTTTGGATTTATTTTGACAAGGCTCAGCTCCTAATAGAATTTCATATTTGTTTTTTGTTTTTTTCTGCGACTTTGCGACCAATGAAATCTTGCTGACTAATGACCTTTCTGGTCGACTAACGTTTGGTCGACTATCAGGGGGCAGTCCTATGTAAAACGAGTAGTGTGGACACTAGGTGTAAAGGTAGTAATTGTTATGTGTTTTAAAACATATTAGTGTGGATGTAGCCTCAGTCATCTGATAGAACACGTCACACCCCTGCAGTCTGAGCAGGTAAACTGTAATAAAAAATGATTCATCTTTAAAATATGAAGATCTGACTCTGCTCTGTAAAGCTGAGAGGTCTCACTCTGCTCCTGTTTTCTGAGTCTAAGTGTAAAATTCACACGGTTATGTTTGTGAATCTGGAGACACAAACCGCTGTTCAGACTCTCTCTCACTTTTATCACCTGAATAGAACTCATCTTATCTTTCATAAACTATAATTAAAAGCAGTTGAGTTGGATGTTTTTGTAGTTCAACACATTGTGTGCACACTTTTTTTTATTTGCTCTCCTGTGTGAGTGCACTTAATATATGTGCATATTATATGTACATGTAAACATGTGGAACAGTAGTTTTATGGTGGCAGACAAAGTGAAGACAGTTTGGAGAGCTTATTTAGAAATAAAAACGAGATGACAAATATAATCAGCCATATGACAGGAAGTTAAAGCAGCACATGATGTCATATCCTCTTACATTTCAAACCAAAGAGGATCTAAGATGGAGCCTTGTGGTCCTCCACAGGAGAGATGATCCATTTTAACAGAAGCTGAAGATAGAAATGCTCCTGCTCCATGTTGTTGTTGTTGTTGTTGTTGTTGTTGTTGTTGTTGTGTGACCTTTGACCTCTTCTCTCTGACAGCTGAGTGTGCGAGGGAAGAACAAGAAGGAGAAGCTGGAGGACTTCTTTAAGAATGTGGTGAAGTCTGCTGACGGCGTCCTGGTGGCCGGAGTCAAGGTGACAGACAGTATTCAGAGCTCCTACAGAGTTTCATGGTTTCATGTCTGTCAGATATTAATTGTTTGTTTTTCAGGACGTGGACGACTTCTTCGAACACGAGAAGACGTTTCTGTTAGAATATCACAACAGAGTGAAAGATGCTTCGGCCAAATCTGACAGAATGATCCGCTCGCACAAAAGTAAGAAACAAGTTTATTTTGTAACTGAAAGCAGGAGTCTCTAATGGAAGACTCTATCCAGGTGCATTATGGGAAATATAGGAGCCAGTGTTTTTGGACTAACAGTCAGATGTTTGTGTTCAGACGCTGCAGACGACATCAACAGAATCGCCTCGTCTCTCTACACATTAGGAACGCAGGACTCCACAGACCTCTGCAAGTACGAACAAACAAACTTATTCAGCACAGCAGTTTGTTTTTGTCTATTTCTCACACTCAACATGCTGACATCACTTCTTCCTGTTTACCTGTTTCAGGTTTTTCCTGAAAGTGTCAGAGCTCTTCGAGAAAACGAGGGTACGTTTGTTGTCAGGTCACATGAACAGGACTGTCCACAAACTTTTGGCCATATTGTGTATAAAGAAAGCCCATGATGGATTGTTTTGACCATGATCAGACGTGTGAAGGTTTCTTTTGTTGTGTTTCAGAAAATTGAAGCTCGAGTTGCGGCAGATGAAGACCTGAAGCTGGCTGACCTGTTAAAATATTACCTGAGAGAGTCCCAGGCTGCAAAGGTCTGACTGTTACATCTTATTATCATGGGTTTGGTTGTGTGTGTGTGTGAGTGTTTGTATCTGTATTTCAGCAGTTAATCTCTCAAACTACTGGACCAGTCAGCCTCATATTTTGTTAGTACATGAATGACTATATGCTCAAGGACCTCTCAAGGTTGCAGTGATTAATTATAGTTTAGAAAAGTAACTCCTCTTAACCAGCCAGTAAGGGCTGTGAGTTTTCAGGAAATCATCTCAACTAAAAAGAACAATTCTTACAGTCTGTTACTGGCCACATTTTGGCCTTCGTCATGGCTCAAAAACTGACATCCGTAGAAAAGCTTGTCTCATTTTGATCCAGAGCATCTGCAGATTAATTCCATACCTGATATGTTATGATCCGCTGAAGTTAGAGCAATACCAGATCAATAAATCCCCATCTTTTGTTATCTTCTCTGCCATCTTGACTGAAAGGGAGCCGGGAGAGAGAATTCCACTGGGTGCAGCTGCAACCTCGTTTTATTCAGTAGACAAAGGTGATCTGTTAAAAGTCCAGTTATGAACGACATGATCAAAGATTTCTGGCTGTGTTCCAGTTACTAAAAATGCCAGAAATGTGGCCTGGTGCCACTTTACAGTCCACAGATTACCCCTTTTAGAATACCAAAAAAAGAAAAGTAAATATAAATTAAGAGCAATTTAAAAGTAGTTTAAAGTGTTTAAGAAGTAATTTAAAAATCAGGGCGAGCACAGTAAAAAACAAGACAAAGCGTAAATGTTAACAGATTTATTACAGTAAAACCAGGATAATTTTTTAAAAAAACCAAACAGATGATGCCTAAAACGTCCATTAAATCCTGAGGTCCTCTGCCAGTCCTTTGCTGTTCCTCTTTCCAGTCGAGCCACTCGCCCACATGAAACGCCAGTGGCTGTAGCGTCCTGAATAGCCTACTCTTCCCTTGTCCGTGGCAGCTCCCGGCCTTCCTCATCCCTCCCTTGCTCTGAACAAATGAGAACCAGTACCGCAGAGGCATACCAGCCCCAATTTACACCCCCTGCCTGGCCCCAAAGCCGGCCCCTCCAGTACCCGCCGCAAACACGGTTAAAAAATACTCACGGTTTTCCTTGGCGGTTCCTGCTCCGTTGTTTGGGCTGTGGGTTCCGCTGCATAGCAGTGTCGAGGGCTTGCTCTCATGGTCGCTGTGTTGTCTTGCTCTCCCGTGTGTCCGCTTTTCTCCTGTATACTTCCTGTGCGCCACACCTGTTGCTCTTGATCCTCATAATTATATTGTGTCTATATCTCACATCCAGTGCCTGTCAGCAGGATAAATCAATCTGTTCTGTGCAGCGCGCCACAGCTCCATCAAAAATAGACAAAGCATTTATTTGATAGTTTTCTGTGTGTTCATTGTGATAAAGGAACATGAATGTGAGTAAACGTTGTGGTGGTGTGACTGTCTGCAGGACTTGCTGTACCGGAGGAGCCGCGCTCTGGTCGACTACGAGAACGCCAACAAGGCTCTGGATAAAGCTCGAGCCAAAAACAGAGACGTCCTGCAGGCTGAGACCAGCCAGCAGCTCTGCTGCCACAAGTTTGAAAAGATCTCTGAGTCCGCCAAGCAAGGTCAGCCGAGTCCTTATTTACCTGTGAGACTAGTTTCATGTCTCCAGATACAACAAAACACACCTCAGGGAGGTGACACAGTCTGAGTGCTGCAGTGTCTAACAGTGGATTCTGTTCTGAACACAGAGCTCATAGACTTCAAGACGAGACGAGTGGCAGCTTTCAGGAAGAACCTGGTGGAGCTGGCAGAGCTGGAGCTTAAACACGCCAAGGTAACAGATCACTGCATCACCCGGTGAAGTTAGTAACAGATATTACAGTCTGAACAGTGGTGATGGCCAAATGAACCCTCGAGAATCATTTCTTTGTTTCCTGACCCCACTGGATGGTGCTGTTTTTAAAAGAAAAGGCTTCAGCAATGACAGCTCAGTGTGCTGTTAACCCTTTGTTGAACAGAGAGTGCCATCCAGGTGGCCCAGAACATAAAGATGGTTCATGAGGCTTCATTTCATTATTTCTGTTGTGTCAGATACACTGTATGTCATTACTTACCTTCTCAATTTAATGTTCAGACATTCAAACTGAGAGGTTATCATTTTGAAACTCACTGGATCAGAAAAGTTTAAGTTAAGTAAATTAATGATGTTAATGTCCAGAGTGTCACCTGTGTCTCTGACCCCGCTCCTCTCACCTGCAGGGGAACCTCCAGCTGCTGCAGAGCTGTCTGGGCGTCCTGAAAGGAAATACTTAACTGTGCAACCCCGCCCACATCCAACTGGACACGCCTGCTGTGGGCGGAGCCCCGATGGACGAACGACACTGAGAACTCTGGACCAGAGAGAGAGAGAGAGAGAGTGAGAGAGAGAGAGTGACAGGAAGTCTGTCGTCTTCATCACTAACCAGACACCGTCCTCTTCATCTTCTTCATCCTCCTCCTGTCCTTACCCACTCCCTCTCCCTCTCTCTCTCCAGCAGCACTTGTACTGGTTCTAACGGTTCTACTGGTCCAGTATCAGACCTGAAGCACCTGCACTGGTTCTACTGGTCCAGCAGAACCAGTGTGGTCAGCCTCTGTCTCTCCTGAGTGACACTCGTACAAAACTTTATTATCACCGAACAGAGGAAAGAAAATGTCCTGTGTTCCTTTTCCAGATTAAACAAACGGTTTCTCTCCAACGAACACAAACAGATAAAAATCAATCAATAGATTTACAGCTAGCCAAAAGCTAACACATGACTCACACTGACTGTTGGTCTCAGATGAGACCTGAACCCCTGACCCCCCTCAGTCTGATCCACAGACCTCTGAAGCACAACAGGAACATATGAAGGTCACTCAGAGGAGACGGTGCTGATCCCAGTCAGGAACTGGTTCCAGTTTGTCTCTGCTGGTCTCCACCCTGCAACAGCCTCCATCTCACAAACTGTTTGTCTTTTGTTGAGTCACAGAAGTCTTTTTTTTTTTTCTAAAAAGAGAAGTGTGAACATATGGACCTGTTTCATATAAATCTACAGAAACTCACTGGATTCACTTAAGAAACAAATCTGTGCTCTCATCTCATAATTCTGACTTAATATCTTATGATTATGAGTTAATATCTCAAAATTATGATTTAATGTCTCATAATTGTGATTTCATATCTCATAATCATGAGTTAATCTCATAGTTATGAGTTAATATCTCATGTGTTAATATCTCATAACTATGATAGTTAATATCATAGCTATGAGTTAATATCTCATAATTGCAAGTTAATGTCTCATAATTATGAGTTAATATCTCATAATTACAAGTTAATATCTCATAATTACGAGTTAATATCTCATAGTTATGAGTTCGTCTCGTCGAGATGACGTGTTAATATCTCATAGCTATGAGTTAATATCTCATAGTCAGGAGTTAATATCTCATAGCTATGAATTAACATCCCATTGTTATGAGTTAATATCTCAAAAATTATGAGTTAATATCTCGGAATTATGAGTTAATATCTCAAAAATTATGAGTTAATATCTCGGAATTATGAGTTAATATCTCAGAATTATGAGTTAATATATCATAGTTATGAGTTGATATCTCAGAAGTATGCGTTAGTATCTCATAGTTATCAGTTAATATCTCAAAATCACAACGTAATATCTCATAACTGATTTATCTAATAGTTAAGAGCTAATTTCTCATAATTATGACTTAGTATCTCATATGGGTCTCTTATGAGTTACTATCTCATAATTTCAACTCATTTATCCCTTAATATCTCATAATTTTGATGATGACTGATTTTTTTTTCTAGTGATTAAGAGTTTTGGCGTCTCGCCTGTTTCTTTGGTGAATCCAGCGATCTTCAGTAGAAGTTGATATTTTGTGTTGATGTGTAGAAAATGAGTGAAAGATGAAGAAAATGATCTCGTCTTTTCCTTAAGTAGCTGTTACATTATTCTCACAGGAGTTAAAGATAAACTCTGCAGGATTTTTTCTAAAAACACTAAATTCATACAGCAGTAATCCCTCTCTGTCATCACTTATGACCCGCCCTCAGTGTGGTGTTGTGTTTATCTGCAGAGACTCCGCCCTCTGAACAGAGTTTATTGTCAGGTCAGGACTTTATAAAGAGGCGGAGACCAGAAGCACGTATCCAGGAGGAAGCTCCAACAATCAGACACTGTGCAGAAAAACACATGTACAATGTAGTGAATGAGAGTGAATCTGGTGTCGGCTGTCACTTCCCCTGCTGCTCCTGTCACAGGCAGTAGAGACAGTTCTGTGTAGTTTACCTTTTAATTTGATCATCTTTCACTCATTAGACGAAAAAAAGACTTTCATGACTCATAAAGACAAAAACATGGAGGTGTTTCACAGTGCAGATGGTTCAGTCTGTCTCATCAGCGTGTCACTCTGTCTTCATCTTCTTTTGTCGTCTTATTTTGGCGGTGTGTGTGTGTACGTCCGGGGGTGCTTTTAATGTGTCGGTGAACTTCCTGTGCTGCTGCTGTGTGACGGCGTTTTGAGTCCAGCTCTCGGTTCCCGTTCTTATTAAAGTGTAATGTCACTAAATAAAAAAAAAGCCTTGTATATGTTTGTATTAGTTAACTAATGAACGCTAATCATCATCAACATCATCATCATCATCATCACTAACAGTAGCTTTGTTTATTTTTCTCTGAATCAGCTGTTTGTTGCCGTGGAGCTTCAGTCTGTTTGCCTTAACGTCGACCAGTCGCTCCGTTTGATTTGTTGTTTCTTTTTTAAAGTGCACTGTATACGAATGTTTTTTCACTCTTATGTGACCAAAGCTTCCATTTCTGATTCAAGACGAAGACGTGATGAAAAAAAAGAGAAATAAAAAGAAGAGAAGAATAAAAACAGATGATTTATGAAACTCACAACATTTTAGTTGTTTCAAGTTCAGCAGGTCTGTAATCCACCCTGGTCATACTGAGACTGAATAAAACTTTACGGACACTTTTCTTACAACCCTCTGTGTCACCGGTTTACTGGGAGAGGAGGAGGAGGAGACGCTGTCTGATTGGACGGGAGGGTCGGAGGGGCAGGTGAAGGTTTAACTCACAGGTGTAACATAGAGTCAGTCAGACATTAAAAGGATTGTTATAAACAGATCAGATCATCTTTAATCTGCAGAAGAAGAAACTGATGCCCCATAATACTTTGGGTCATGTAAGCAGAAGTGTAGTGTTACCATGGAGTCATTAAGCTGTGACCTGCGGCCTGTTTTCTTTATCCTACATCAGATTTCATGTCACAGTGAGCTGAATGATGTGTGAGCAGCTCCTGTTTGCAGTGAACCCATGGATGTACAGACAACTATCACTGGATTACTGTGATACTGAAGGAAACTTAAAACACGGTGATTCTAATGCACGTTCTACAGCCTCTTTTTGTCTATGGTTTCTTGGTTTTTTAAACGCCTCTGCACCGGCGATATCTGTGGCATTATGTTTTCAGCATATCCATCCATTACATTGTCATGAATGCAATACTTCAAATACACCTTGAGGGAGTTCGTTTTAAAAGTTTGGCACAAACATCCACTTGGACTCCAGGATGAACTGAGAATTTGGTGGTCGTAGGTCAAGGGCCAAGGTCACTATGGCATGGAATTTCCTCAAATTTGGCACAAACGTCCACTTGTACTCAAACTAATAAGAATTTGATGGGCAAAGGTCACCGTAACCTCACAAAACACGTGCTAATTATGACAAAATCTCACACACAAATGTGAAATAGTATAAAATGATGAAGTGACGACATTTTATATCCAAAAGGTCAAAGGTCAACTTCACTGTGATATCATAATGTTCTGCAAAAACACTTTTCTGGCCATTATTCAGCTTCATATCTCAGGAACAGAAGGGGAGACTTTGGTCAGATACTGAATCGGTGACTGATTTTTGGTGTCCACCTTGAAACTGTGCTGATTGTATAGATCTTATGTGTGTGAAGCGTCCATGTTTTCTCAGACATGGATGTAAACTGTAAGTGCAACTGTACTGGTGTGCAGAGGCATCCAACAGCGAGGTGGTAATTCTAGTTTATATATATTTTATTACAAAAAAACATCAGAAAGCACAATGTACTTATCTTTTCAGGCTTTAAAAAACACATCTTTAATTAATTAGTTATCAGATATCAATGAATTAAGAGCCAGGGTGAGATCGCGTCATATTTCTGTGTGATGAGAGAGGTAAATAAATGATAAATAACGTAAAACTTCAATTAAAAGCCCAGTCCCTTTTATTAGCCTGGTGTGGCTACACATTTTGACAAATAAAAGCCTGTCTCAATTAGAGGCCTGGTCTGGTTGCCAAGCAGTTCAGATGTATAAAACCAAGTTTTTGGCTACCTAAAATTATGTGTCCATTCCTCCATTACCCTGTAAGTTATTCATATTTCTTTAGTCCGTAAGAGTCCTCAGATCAAGAGAATCAAAGGTTGGTTTTTTTTGTATAAATGAATCCAAGTTGTGAGGACTGTTTAAACAAGATAAAGTGGTGTTGTGTCAATAAGCCGGGTGCTGTAACTCTCTGATGCTCTGTCTGTTGGAGCTAGATCAAATGAATGATTTATAATTGATATATTATCTGAAGCCTAATTTTTAAAACAAGTAATATTCATACTTAAATAAACAATTTGATTGTATTTCCTGATCTTTGTTGGACAACAGTTTTGTGTGAAAGAAATTAAAGGCCTGTCCCAAACATAGGCCTGTTGATTTCAGTGATTTAAGCAAATTATAGCGGGGGCTACTAATTGAAGTTTTATAGGAAATAATCTTATGTTCCACACACTTATTTCTTTTTCACATGCCAACAGCGTCACTGCAGCGTCACTCCGCAGCAGCAGGCCGCAGCAGCAGAGAATCCGCAGCAACCTGTACAGGACTGACGTCATTTCCTCTTTAGCAGCGTCTGTAAAGCTGACGGAAGAGACCGCGGGTAAACGTACAGGAAATGAACTTTACTCAATGTGCAGAGTAAAATTCGTAGCTCGCTGACAAGTGAAGTGGATAGCACTGGTCATCTTGTTACGATGTAATATTAAGCACTGAATAAAGTAATACTAATAATCATCAAGTTTTTGTTTTAACTTTTTATGTTGAGATCACAGGTTGAGATTATTTTGTTGTGTCATGGTCACTGGGGCTTTTATTCTGAAGGCTGCAGCCGGAAGTCGGGACTTAGATTGTGTGAGTGTGATGAGGCGCAGGAGCTGAGAGCTGTCCACAGGATCCACAGTCTGACACAAAATGAGCTCTATCGGGACCGGGGTGAGTCTCAACTTCAGTCTGACTGTTTCTATCTCATATTTTAACCAGGTTTAATAAAAAATAATCCGACTTTATAATTAAAATCATTCATTATAACCCGTAGATCGAGCTGGTTAGCATGTTAGCCTGCTGAGTCACAACGAGGCCTGTTAGCCGAAGCTAAACTGAAATTGAAAGTAACAGAGTTCAAAGTTATAATTGAATTTATCTTTAGTTTGCTGTTATCATTTTAAAACTAACAGTATACAGTAAGTAATAAAAAAAGTCTCCCTGTAGTGTCGGTGTGTGGCGTGTTATTGCAGTAACATAACCTAAATATCAAGTAGTGTGAGCACAGTCGATGCTAACAGTTAGCTCCGGTACATGCCAAACTCCCTTTAGGAAACAGCAGATTTAAGTTTTCCTCCGTGTCATTTGAAGTTCGCCTCCTGAAGAAGACATTTAACTCTTTAATGTAGTGAAATGAAGTGTTCTGGTTAAATCGGGATTCATTTGATCCAACAAACAGCCTTTTTTTAGATGAAATCAACGTCAGAGCTGAAAACACCGGTCTCTCAGCAGGTTAATGTGGCAAATGATGAAAGTTTGGTGACAGCTGATTGGAACTTTTGCTGCACATTAATGACACATACACAATACCAGCAAAACACATGACACGCTTTAGTCTACATCGAGGTCCCTTAAAGTAAATCCATTAAATTTACTGTATTTAATTTACATTTTAACTTGAATTATGTGGTAAATACACAAAGGATCAGTGTGAGATGTTACTGATGTTGTTTGGTCTCAGTAATATTTCCAGCTGCAAGTGAATGAATCTCATTCAGTATTCTAAAGTTTATTAAAATTCTCCCAAATTAAATGGACATTATGGGTTTTCTGCCTCTTTATGAAGTAAAACCACCTTTTAAGATGTATTAAATAGATCCATCCTGTTCTTATCAGTTTGACAATTTAGTAGGCACTAAAGCATTTTCAAATATGCATATATTAATGAACTTATTTACATTGTTAACACTCAGAAAATGTTTTTCTTTGTCTATTTGTCTCCACCTGTGTCTGTGTCCCGCAGTATGACCTGTCAGCCTCCACCTTCTCTCCAGATGGACGGGTGTTTCAGGTGGAGTACGCCATGAAGGCTGTAGAGAACAGCAGGTAAAAAAACCCCGTATCAGTTTGTGTTCAGTCTGCAGATCAACTCACAGTGACTCAGAGACTGGTCACATGACACAGGTGGCCAATCAGGTGGCAGTGTTCAGGCTGTGTGATGATGACATGGTGAAGGTCTGTCAGTCAGTCATCAGGACAGATTGTGCTCATTTCTCAGATATTTAATCCACAAAATAGTGTCATTATTTTTCACTAAGGGTTGTTTTATTTGTCAAAAGTTGTAGCAGCTTCACTCACACACAAATAACAGATTTACCAATATTTAAATGGGAAAAGAATAATGTATAGTTACTTATATACATACATACCTGAGGATATATGAAGATATAATTTAGTACTAAAACACTTTTTAGGTGACTACGAGGATTAAGTATTAATTCATTAATAAGTAAGTTAACATAGCCACCTGAATGACTTCAGGTTCTGATGTGTCAGCTGCTGAATTTACATTCTGACTAAGAAACTGTACGGTTTCACCTGAATGCACCGCAGAATGCATCTAACTGTGTGTTTGTCTGTGTCTGTTTGTGTGTGTGTGTGTTCAGCACGGCCATAGGTATCCGCTGTAAGGACGGTGTTGTGTTCGGGGTGGAGAAGCTAGTTCTGTCCAAACTGTACGAGCAGGGCTCCAACAAACGCATCTTCAACATTGACAGACATGTTGGCATGGTAACCACTGCCAACTAACTGCCACCAGTACACTCTCCTCTCCTCTCCTCTCCTCTCCTCTCATGTGTTGCCTCGTGTGTTTCTCAGCTCACCTCTTTCTTCCAAAATGTTTCCATATTGGTGCAGTTTCACTTTTTCTTGATGGTCTCTGACTTGTCTCTGTGTGTCTCCAGGCGGTAGCCGGCCTGTTGGCTGACGCTCGCTCTCTGTCTGAAGTCGCCAGAGAAGAAGCATCCAACTTCAGATCAAACTACGGACACGACATTCCACTGAAGGTTTGTTTCTCAGTACTCGTGATAGTCCTCATTGACCTGCTGGCTGTGCAATGCTAAGCTAACAGTGTTTCCTGTTGTTGCAGCACCTGTCGGACAGAGTGGCCATGTACGTCCACGCCTACACACTGTACAGCGCTGTGCGGCCGTTTGGCTGCAGGTGAGTGTATGACATCAGCTGATCACTGAGTCTGGTGCGTTCAGATGCAACATGTCCAGGCAGTTGTCATGTTTTAGTAGTTTAAGAAGCTGAAGAGTGAAATCTGGAGCGCAGAAACACAGTGGCGAGGAGGATGGTGATGAAGATGAAGAAGACACATATAACAAACACATGAACACGCAGAGAGAGATGAGCTGCAGCTGACAGGAAGAGATGATGATTTTTGTCTCTCTACAGTTTCATCCTGGGATCATATGACAAAGATGACGGTCCTCAGCTCTATATGGTCGACCCATCCGGCATCTCACACGTGAGTCAGCCTACACACACACACACACACACACACACACACACCAGACACACACCAGACACACCAGACATCAGGAGGTCAGAGTCCCAGTAAGACCAGTAAGCAGAC